CAACAACAGCAGGTCTAGCTTGCCATCACTATTCTTTGTTTTAGGTATTCTGACTCAGTTAATAATAATGTTTAAACTTTTTTTTTTTTTTTTTTTTTTTATCTCAATTCATATGTGAATGGACTGGATGGTGATCTTATTTTCCAAACTCCAAATCAGATTAGCAAATAAAAATGTGGTCACCATAATGTTACATTTTCTTCTCCAAGCATAGGGATGTGCACATGGTAGTTACTTTTGACTAAAGGGATAAATGAGGTCTAGAAATTTAGCAAGTCTGTAGTTTCTGTAGTAATAAGGTACTGTAGGATATGCACTGAACTGCTAACTCAAGGTGAATGATTCAAACCCACCAGTTGCTTCTTGGAAACCTTATACAGTGTTGCTATGAGTCAGAACTGACTCAACAGCACTTAACAACAGCAACAAAATATAGTAGTGAGTTTATATATATATAAATACATAAGATAATGTTCTCTTTTTTTGCATGTTAAGAAAAACAATTTAAAGATTATTTGGTCAGTTCTTTTTTTTCCTGTTGTTGTTGTTGTTAAGTGCCGTCGAGTCGATTCTGACCCATAGCGACCCTGTATAGGGTTTACAAGGAGCAGCTGGTGAGCTTGAACCACCAACCTTGCAGTTCAAACAACTCAGGAATCATATATTGCCATCATGTATTGCTCTTAGGTAGCTCCTAGACCACTGTGTCACCCACATATTCATTGCAGGCCAATTAGTTACCAAGAGTCACAATGCATTGAATCTGAGTATAACTAAAGTCAAAGCTGCAGGAAGTCACAGCAATTCTAATGAGTATGCAAAAATTATTAGACTGCCCAAAACCCCCAAAAAACCCACTGTTCTTTAAGTATCAGCTAGCTATAATATCATGTAATCAGGTAGCAGGCACTTGAAGCAACTGCTACAAAGTGATTTTTTTTTTAATTAGGAAGATTTCTTAAGAATTAAATTTTAAAAATTAGAGTCAATTAAAAATAGGAGTGATTGGCACTTTCTGGTCTAATCATACACACTCACTTATACACACACACAGAAATACATTTGTAAATAGTCATAATAGTCAACAAAATGAATACAGTCATCCTGGATAGCAGGGGCACTGAGTGAAGGGCATTTAATGCTTTCTTAGGGACAATATATGAACAGTGAAAAACTGAATCATTGGCCTAAATTCATAGACCGGGGGCTTTCTGAGGTTATTTAATCCATCTTTCCATTTCAAGGTAGTCTATATTTGTCATCAATATCATCTTAATCCTACTAAAGGAAAAAAATTAGGTTATTGGAACTCTCAAGTAGGTATCGCCATTCCTACTCCCTAAAGAGACCGTCATAAAAGTTTATTGAACTTATATCAGAGTATATTATTTTTAATTCACACTCAGATGCACAGATTTTAAGGAATGCTTGGAGATTAATACACAGTTGGTAAAATCTCCTATACTTTTTGTATACACAACTACAAATATAGAGAATTGATAATCAATCCATTAATTAATTAATATTTCATGCATGCATTCATTAAACTGTACGATAAGCACTGGACTGCAAAGTCAGTTTGAACCACAATGTTGGCAATTCAAATTTACCAGTTGGTCCTTGGAAACCCTATATGAGTCTCTATGAGTAGGAACCAACTCAACTGGCACTTAACAACAACAAAGAGGTTACC